AGAGAGTAAGCGAAAATTCTCTCCCAAAGAGATGAAAAAGCAAAGAAGGAAACGAACAGGCGACTGCCTTCCTCGGGGATGAATATGCTAGGCATGAAATTATTGGTACACACGCCTTCCAAGCACGCAGGGTTGCTTTTAAGAAACAAAAAATAATTAACTCCAAATTGTTTCAAAAAGTATAGTGTAAAACGAAATTTATTGAATAATTCCACATAAAATGGTATACATAAATGACGCATTTTCTAAACGATTTAAATTAAACGCATTTGCGAATTGACAGAAAAGTACTACGGATTGTAAATTTTTGTTAACTATGAGGTGAATGAAAATTTGCAACCCGGCCTGATGGTTTGATTTTATTACTAAGGCGTCTAATAAATTCATGGCTTTTAGTTCTAGAAGAATAAATGTCAGTAAAGACAAGTCTTTTTTGTATAATTTCTGATTTTAATTGCTCAACGTCTTTTGAACTAGAGCAACTGTCAAAAATTTCCAACAGTAAAAAGTCACGAATTGGCACAGCAGAAATGTAAAATTTTCTCGCCATAATAAAAAGTTTTTTCAACATGGAACTTTTCTACTAATTGACATGAAATTACTATCTCAACGCTCGGAGCGCTGCCACTGAGGGCCTTTGCCAACTGATTAAAAAGAGAAAATTTGGAAAGACCAAACAAAAATTTTGAGATTTCTCGTTGTTAATACGAATGCCATAGTTTTTACCTAGCTCGTAGGACTACGCAAAATTTTGACAGCTTGTAAATATGTATACACATAAAGTTGTTGGCGGTAATAAGGAGTCAAAATTAAAATGGAGAAAAGAACAAAAAGCGTAGGTTAGTTGTCAGTTATAAAATAAATCCAATTTATTTGCGAATATTTGTTTATTCTTTTTATTGAAAGGCAACCACTCGGAAAAGCTTGTGTTAATTATATTGATAACAGAACCTGGCAGCTCGCACGTTGTCTAAATTCTCAAGTAACATAAAGTCCACAAAAGAATAAGTACGCCATGTATAAATTTTAACAATACACAAAAATAGAGCTTTCGCACGAGCGTTTGTTTGGTTTTTCAACACCATTTATAATTTTCTTTTAATAAAATCACGATTTGACAAATACTTAAATTTATTTATATAATAATAATACAGCACACAACCCTGAAATCTAAGAAAAAGTCTGAGGAAGGCCATTAAATAGCAGCACACAACCCCGTGCCTTCCTCAGAAGTGAATATAACTACAACAACAACGACTACTACAACAACAACCCAAAGAGGTTGGTTACTGTCTATACTGTGGCCAAAAAGCATATAAATACCAAAACTCGGAAAATGCAATTTTGTTTGTTTACAGAAATTGCAACCATATGTTTTGTGATCATATGTTTTCGTGTTGGATAATTTTTGCTGACTAAAATTTTGCCAGTACAAAATGAACGCTTCTCTTGTATTAAAATGAACGCTTGCTCTCACAATTTTTGTGTGTTGGATAATTTTTTGTCGTTATCGAACGCCATCCAGTAAAAATTTGGAAAAACTATTACAAATTTTTGACTTGTCGAACGCACCTAATAACAAGCAGTTTACAACAAACTCAGAAATTTTTAAAATTATCACACAACTGACTGATACAGTGCAAAATATTAAAGGTGACACATTTGCTAGAAATATAGAGAAGAAACGAAATCAGTTTATTTTGCATGAACTTCAAAACATGATAAATACAATAACTTTTGGAAAATTAGGAATTTAAAACCCAACTATTTTACATTTGACGAACTAAAAAATATCACTTATTATCAACATGGAACTCTATGACAGTTACGGTTAATGGACATTTCAGAGTTTATAATTATACAAAAGAATGACATAATTGTACTTTACATTAAATACACAAAAATAGAATTAACTTGTAAGTTTTATGAAGTAAGGGCTATAGCTCAACTAGATGGTAAGCTTCTAATCAACAGAAATGTAACAAATTCTAAAAGCAAATTTTATAATATTTATAATTGTAAAGTGAAACACATATTGTAAATTAGTAAAAGAAAAATCATGTTTGTCAGAAATTTTAAATAAAAATCAAGGAAAATGTAAAAAATTAAAGAACGGAACAATAAAATTGAAATAGTGAAACAAGGGGCAATACTAATTTCAGGAAAAAATAATGTCGAAAACCTAACACTAGAAGGAACATATTTAATTACTTTTGAAAATCAAACTGGGATAAATAATATCACATATGAAAACACTGAGTCTAAAATTTGGAACTATTTGAAATATAACTATGTAAACAACTTTGAAATATTGGAATATATAGAATCAAGTAACAAGCTGTTAAAACTAGAAAACATAAATATTTTAGGTGAAAAAAATATACGCTTTAAAACCAATTCATTCATTTGGTATATTATCTGTCTGATGAAGAGATGTGGTGATCTCCGAAATAGCTGCTAAGACTTCGACCGCTTAGACTTTGTTGCTTTTTCAATTTTTCCTTATAAACAATCGTGGTACAAAGCTCAATAAAAATATTAAAAAAATAAAATGTCAATAAGCTACAATAACATTGACAAGTACATAATTTAATCTTTGTTTTATACAATGGCACACTTTACTACTTTTTCCTTCAACAGTAGACTAACGATTGGTTTTTGGTAACGGTTTGGCAACCGATCGTGCCCCGGCACTTCAACCAGACGATATCTTCTTTATTTTTCACTCAGCATACATTCACACGTATTCACGCATACATACGTACATATCTGACTTACACAACACCCACAAACACGCATACGTATTCGCGCTACAATTCGCTTTTACTCATGTTGCGCTTCAATATTGGGGAACATGTTTGCGTTAGTGACAGATACGCTGATGGAGTGGAAGGATAATTAAGCCGGATTATGTTTTCAATCACAGGCTGTGGTTACAGGCTCGCATCCGCCGATATTACTTGTAACATGGAGTGTGTGCGTAAAAAATTCAAAACGCAGCCTGAGTATTTTATTTGCATATTATGCCCCACGACCCAATGCCGGGCTTCCTATTCTTATCCTTTTGCCTTCGCCTGTGTATGTCTCACGCACAAGTCTTTGGAGCGGTGTTACAGCTACACATGTATCTACATGAGGGTGAAAAAGTAAAGTCGGAATTTTTATGCTTTTTCCCCCTAGGATTGTTCTATACCAAAAAAAATATATCCCTTTTTTTTATTTTGAAATCAAAAAATATTTAGAGGTCGCTCAAAGCGCCTGTTTAGGCCTTAAGCCTAAATATTTCAAAAAGCTGGTGCTCCGCCTTAATGTCTGTTTTTCTTATACACTCAAATACATATGTGTGTACGTATTAACGGGAAGACTTGGGCCATTAGCAAGTCCTTCCCGCCGGACAACGAACTTTCGTTAACTTTTCCCTTCTATATCGGTGTTTGTCCGGGAGTCTGCAACTAAAGCGATTTAATTTAATCTGTCACTTCTCGTGTGAGTCTACATGGAGCTACCAGCGTTAGCGATATTCAAGTATTAAGGTAATATACTCAATTTATTTATTTATTTATTTATTACGATCTTGGAGATCTAGATAATTTAATAAGGTACAAAGTATTTTTAATGTTTACATATTTGTTTCGATTCTTTAAATTTCTTCGACTTCAATTATCTAATAATCTATAAAATTATTTACTAAAAATTTTTAACTACTTGATAGGTAGCGCTTTACAGTAGCTGTATAATAATTTTTTAAATTTTTTGGTATTATTGCAGTTTCTAATATCAATTGGCAGATCATTATATTCTCTAATTCCATCGTAGTATATACTTTTTTTATCGAATTCGGATCTCACTACCGGCAAGTAAAAGTTGTTATTGTGTCTTGTTTGATAGCTATGGACCTCTCTATTTAGTCTGACACGTTCACTTAGGTAATTCGGCAGGTTTCCCAACTTTATGTTGTGTATAAACTTCAATGTGTAGTAAGTCATGTTCTGTTTTACACTAAGCCAGTTTAAGCTGTCAAGTAAATCTTTAATTGGGGTATCATACCGTTTTCTTAATATGAAACGCATAATTTTGTTTTGCTTAATTTGTAGCCTGGATATTTGCAAATCAGCTAATGCGAATAGAATTGTAGGGCAGTAAATGAAATGCGGCTCGATAATGGATCTATAGACCAGTATTTTGTATTGCTTACTAATATGCTTGCATGATCGAAACATGAACCCTATTTTTTTGGAAATTTTCCCTTCAATGTATTTTAGATGTTCATCCAATTTTAATTTGTCATCTATAATTATTCCCAGATATTTTATTCGGTTTACTCTTTCTATAGGGGTATTTGCTATTTTTAGCGACACATTATCATCTTGAGTCACTCTAGACCCCATTATCATCCATTTTGTCTTTTCTATGTTTATTTTAAGCATATTTTGGCACAACCACTTATATATTGCCTGTAGGTCCGACTGTATTTTTGAGGCTGCCTCATCAATCGTGTTACAGCTTATAGTCAAAAGTGCATCATCAGCGAATAATCTTGTTTTGCAGTATTTGATACAGTTTTTAATATCATTTATGTAAATTATAAAAAGAATTGCTGCAAGCACCGATCCCTGTGGCAATCCTATTTCAATGTCCACTTCGGGGGAAGTCTTACTTCTTATTACAGTTTTCTGTTTTCTTCCACTAAGGTAACTTTTGAACCAGTTAAGCGCTATATTTCTAATGCCAATATTATACAGTTTTTTTATAAGAATATCTCTGTCTACTGTTTCGAACGCTCTTTTTAGGTCGAGGAAAACTGAAATTGTAAATTGTTTCTTCGTTCTACTTTCTTTCCATTCTGCAATTACCAGGTTAAGTGCAGTTTCACACGAGTGTTTTGATCTAAACCCTGACTGCTCATTTATAATAATTTCGTATTTATTTAAGTAATCCAGCAATTGGTTCTTAACTACAGTTTCTATTATTTTCTCATCGCTAGGTAAGGTATTTATGGGTCATATCTCCTCTGGCTTAATTGTTCCCTTTACTTTTTCAACAGGTACAATTACTGAGGTCTTCCAGCAATCTGGAAATACACCAAATTGGAAACTTTCATTAATTACACATGTGTAGGTATAGCCTAAGTACTCCATGCTGTCTTTTAATACACCTTCCGTTACTAATTTTTTTCCTCCGTATTTGTTTTTTAATTTCGTTGTAACTCTCATAAGTTCTTCAACATCTATTTCTTTCAGTTTAAACAAGCTTCTGTTTATCTCCATTTGATTTCCACCTGCTTCGAAGATTTCAATGCTATCTCGGATTCTGCTTATGCTCTCACTAAAGTAACGGTTTAATTCAGTTGCTATTTCATAATCATCTTCAATAAGAGCACCATTTACAGAAATTTTTTGAATTTGTGCTACCTCACTACTCAGATTTATGGCGTCTTTTAGACATTTCCACATTAACTTTTGGTTATTAGTATTTCTTGAGATTTCGTTTTCCATAAATGTTTTCTTTTTTATTTTAACTGCTTTTTTGTAATATCGTTTTATTATAATATAGTTATCCCAATTATTGGTTCTCTCTGCTATTTTAAATTGTTCATATTTCAGCTTATTCAATTCTGTTAGTTCATGGCCGTACCATTTATTAATCAATTTAACTTGAACTCGTTTTTTATATGTTAAAGTGGCCATTACGTCATTGAGGATACTGTTTATTCCTTGGACCTTTAGGCTAACTTCGCAGTTGTTTAGTTCAGCTAAATTGTAAGTTCTAAGGAGATTTACTAAGTGGTCTTTTGTATAGTTATTCCAACACACGCGGTTTTCATAAATTCTCATTTGGTACTTCTTTTGAATTGGTAGTTTGAATGAAATAGTTTCATGATCTGATATTTTATGCGAAGCCAAATTCGATACTTCAACTTCAGTTTTGTTACTAAAGAGTAGATCTATTCTCGTTTGCGTTGTTTCTGTTATTCTTGTATTAAAATTAATTAATTGATACATTGCTAGTGATTCGAACGTCCTAATTAGCTGGCTCGAGTATGTTGTGTGTGTATTGACATTTATATTAAAGTCGCCAATAACGATATTGTTGCCGCTTTCAGAAAAGCAATCTTCCATCACCTCATTAATATGTCTTATAAATTCGGCATCACTGGTGTTTGGTGAGTGATATAACGCACAAATCCGCCACTTAGTTATACATCGTATTGTTTCCAACACAATACACCATATATTATTACCTATGCTCCTATTGAATATAACTTTGAAATCAATTTGCTTATGAATATAGGTTAAGACACCACCGGTGTGACGACTATGCGAGTCGCATCTAATATGATTGAACCCAGCAATCTCCAGTTCCGAGTCATATACATCCTCCGTAGTATGTGTTTCTGCACAAAGTACAATATCTGGATTTTCTTCCTCGATCATTATTTCAACTTCATTTTTGTTAGCTGTGATACTATTTGTATTAAGATATATACATTTTAGTTTATTTTTGTGTTTCTTGAATTTTTCATTATATATTTTTTGTGTGTTTTCTGCATCTTCATTTAGTTGCTAATAACCTAATTTTTGTTTTTTTTATCTCTAGTTTATTATTGTAGCATTGACAGTGCCTGTCAAATGTATCATGATTTATGTCTAAAGCTAGGTTTAATTTTGTGTTCGCTTTTATGCAATTTAGACACTTGTTAATTGGATTTTTTTCACATGTTTTATCGTTGTGTTTTCCGTGGCATTTGTGGCAAGCTTCTTCGTTTTTACAGTCGGCTGATTTATGATTAAATCCTTTGCATTTGTAGCACATTAGTACATTAATAGCATCGAAGACTTTACATCTATCCCACCCGACATTTATTCGCTCTGCGGCAAGAATTTTTGTAAAATCCTCTTTATCTATTTCGATGATTGCATTATACACCTTTATGTTGCCTCGATTTCTTTCAAACTGCTTCAATACTTTTAATGAGCCTTGGATCAGGTTATTATTTTGCTTCCTTATTGATTCTATTAAATCGCTATTTTCGTATTTAAAATTCATTCCTGCAATTAAGAAGCTTGGACGAATTGAATTTGGCACTTTTATTTCATATTCTTTGCCAATGTTTTTTTCAATGGCATCTTTGATTTTTTCGCGTTCATCATTATTTTGACTATGAATCACCATTACACCATTATTTTTTGATAAAATTTTCGAAATATTCAAATTTTTGGGATCAACTTTGCTGTTCAGATCTGTTTTCGTTTTTTCAACCGCTTGCTTTACTTTGGGTTTCACAATTATTGCAACATCGTTTTTTAACTCTGGCAATGCCTTTTTCTTTATATTGTTTTTAATAGTTTCTGCATATGACATTTGTATTTCATTAGTGTTGTTGTTCAGCTTTTTGATTTCACTATGTACCTTTTCGTTGTCTTTGCCGATTGTTTCAGTTTTGTTTTTTACTTCTTCAACCATTTCATATAAGTTTTTTACTTCTCCAATTTTTTTTTCAAATAATTTCTGAGATTTTTCCATCATTGCAACACGTTGTGTATACCGCGTTTCAACTGCTTCCAATAATGACTTTATCTCATTTTGACTTTTTTTCATAGTTTCTTCGAATTCGCTCTTGTATTCGTTTAATATAGAGTTATTTTTTTTTACACTCATCTGCATATCTTGTAGCACCAGGTCGACGTTTTGTATGTATGTTATACATTCGTCACACATAAATCGTATCAAGTTGTTTTTCTCACCAATAATTTTTGCGCTATATTTATCAACTCCTGAACATTGTAGGCTCTCATGGTACACTTTACCACACACTCCTTCACATGCTATACCACTTTCCCCTCTTATTGTGGAATTGCATTTTGCACACACACCCATTTTTGCCGTTTATTTATCTGTGTATATGATCTATGTTTATATTTTGTATAAATGTGAAAAACTTATTTTCAATATAAAATAGTTAGTTTTGGAATTTTGTTCACTTTATTTGTAATTAATAAAACATAAATTCGCTTATTGAGTCTCTATCTCGCATATTTAGCGATTTTTAACACTTGGCTATGGTCGCTTTGCCATTTTTGCAATACAAAGTTTTCCGAGCAGAGCCAAACACGTCTAAACACCTCAGTCCTTCGTAAACTAGTCCCCACAGATTGACCAATATCTTCGTTATTACTCAAATTTTTGCACGTCAAAAATGCACTAAATCACCAGTTTCCACTTTTAAAACACTACTAAAACGTTTCCGGTTATTATTTTATGCAAACCAAATCATTTATTCACTTTTATTTTATATATTTCGTTAATAAAACAGAGTAAACAAACTTTGCGCCTGCTAAAATTATTATAACCTCAAATCGCTCAATTGTATAAAAATAAAATTTTACCAAATATATGACTTAATTAACTATTATTAAACCACGGCCTTATATTTTTCTTTTATTTCCTTTAAATAAAAATCTCAGTGCATCCGAGCACCTCCGAAAGCACATGCATTTTGACATGGTCCCATCGAAGCCGAGCGATATATGACCAACGACCTGCATATTGATATTAATTACAGTCCACAACCACAGCGTACACAGGGAATTATTGTCCAGAAATCACTTTTGCCACAACGTTTTCCGCAACAGCAATCGGTCAAGCCACAGAGATCTAGCGACAACTCAACCACACTTAGCTTACTTGCCACAACACCTGCTACATTTGCCAGGACACCAGCGAGCATACTACACTACAACCACCAAACACCAATCACTTTTAATTCAAGGTCAGTGTTGCCAGAACTTTTTGGGCCGACCGGCTAAATTGGCAAAAAAAAACGGCTAAAAACGGCTAAAATGTTTTAGTGAAATTTCACATAGACCCTGGCAAAAAACGGCTAAAATGTTTTAGTGAAAATTCACATGCTTTATTTAAATAAATTGCAAGAAACGAAAGACTAGTTAACACCATTAATTTATATCGAGTGTATATTCCTCATTATAAAAATGAATCACTATTGTATATATCACCTGAATTCATTAATTTTAAGAGATCGTCATCTACAGTAAAATTATGGCAGCATTTTTCTTCACGTTTTAAACCGTATCTTATATATAAAATAGCGTTTAACGTTTTAACGCACATTGGATTTCTTTGCTTAGTTTTTTTTATATTCATTGAACTAAATATTCGCTCAATTTCTGCATTACTTATAGGCAAAACAAGAAAACTAAAAACTAGGTTGCAAAGGTCAGCAAAAGGGTTTTCTCCTAGGGCATTTCGAAATTGATAAACTTCGGCCCAAAATTTTACAGTTGAGTCTAAATTACTCCAGGTATGTAACGTTAACCGTTGCCATTGCATCTCTATGGATGTTATTTCGTCGGCATTATATTTGGGTTTTTGTTGCTGTAGTTGAACAAATACTTTTGGTTTAATTACTCTTAATGCATTTCCAACCGAAAAAAGTCAATTTTTTTTAGTGTGGCAATATTTGTAGGGAGGCGTTGGCGTAATTCCTTTATTAAAGTGATAATAAAATAGCGACCATTTTCTCGAATTATTTTCTCGGCTTCGTGGTCAAAAGCGTTTGTGCTTACTTTTGTTTTTAAATACTCTTCAAAACTGTGATAAAACTGAGGAAATGGAGCAAGGTATGGTTCCAACGGGGAGCATATAGGATCAAATGTGTCCGCGCTAATAACCACTAGGGAGCATAGATGCGAAAGTAAAACATTGAGTTCATTAAAAATCTTCATTGGGTCTGCATTATTGCTTTCGAACAACTTGTTTACTTTTTGCACCTGAAAATTAGGCAAATAGTAAAATCGGCTAAAAACGGCTAACTTTTTTTTACAAACCGGCTAACAAATCGGCTGCCGGCTAGATCAAATTTTCTCCGGCTAGTTGCTATCAAAACCGGCTAAATATAGCCGGAAAACGGCTAAAATGGCAACGCTGTTCAAGGTACGTGGTTATAATTTCAATTGCACTTGTTAGAAATTTGCCATAAAAACGTTTTAAATTCAATGCGCGTGCGCAAACGAGAATCTCGCGAGTGTTTAAAGTAAAAATATACAATTGGAGCATTTAAATTTGAAACCACACTGTCATTAATTGAGGTTAGTCTGTCCATCCGCAAGTGACCACAATTAGGTGTTCTTGCAACATTAACATATACACACACAGTGTCACACAGTACTCGTTGGTTTGCTACACATTTTTTAGAGTCTCGGTTCAAATTGCGTCCGCGATCGGTAACCAAAAATAAGTGCACCTTGCGTCCACTCGTATATATATACTCGCAACAGTGATCCGTATCACATAATATTGTTAGTGAAGAATCTCGATTTGGTTTAAATTCACAGTCCATAATTCATAATCTTCGTTTTTCTGATCGTTTTTTCATTGTCCCTCTTAGTTGGGTTACATTCTTTTGTATATTTGCGAACACTGTCACTGTTTCGAGGATACATAACCTCTAAATTTTGTTATTTGCATTGAACCAATTGTAGATTTTCACTAAATCACTACACATAAGCGATTCAACTCCGTAACATATTGCATATTTTGTATATTAAAATTTGTTGCGTACGTTGGACACATCACGATTTTACCACGTTTATTATTAACACCTTGCACAGCTTATCAAAGCGCGGAGATATTAGTCTGCACAGTTGGGTGTCGAGTCGTTAGTAAACAATAATTATAAAAGAAAAAGGTTTAAATTTTAATAAAGTGTCGAATATATTTCGCAATACAAACTATTTTAAATTTTATTGATTGTGTTGGTTCTTTTCTGGCGAATAAAAGCGATATCAATTATTCGCTTAAGTGGCAACTTTACGATTATGCTTGAAACCTCGAGGGATTTCCCAAATATCCTTCGAATCGTATATCTGGATTGTTAAATGAATGCTAACGATGACCAAATTGTAGTACAATTAACTTTATTGTACAACAAACAATTTACAATACTCGCTAATACACTAAAAATGCTGTACAATACTTGTTAAAGCAATAATAACACTTTACTAAACTTGTTAACACAATTAAACTCATTGCTTGCTTATTCGCAACTCACTTCTCTGCTCACTTTACTTGTAGCTTGCTGACTTGTAATTAACTCACTTCGCTGTGGCGGCGCCCTTATATACCTGCGCTCGCACTTATGGCAACTGAACGGTGAAGCCTTTCTTCGGCTGCGGCATGTGCAACAGCACCAAATCGCCTTCCTGTAGCTCCTCTCGGCTCGATGCGTTACTGGACATTGCTTCCAGCTTATCTCCGGTGGTGCACCATCTCTGCCGGCCACTTGTGGTGACCAGACCATGTCTCCTCTCGTGGGCACCCTTTTCGCCAGATCTATGCCGCATCCTCTGTCCACGACATCCAGGCTCCTGCCTTCGTGCCTTTAGCACATCTTGGAAAATCCGGTTCCCCACGCGGAAACTTGCCCAGTGTTTCCGCATCTCGCTTTTTCGCCGACGTCAACCTCATTGACCGGACATGTATAACCTCATCCTTGACTTCCAGCTTAACTCCGGCGTATCACCATTGAAACGTGGTTTAGCGGCTTTCCTCCTGCCGGAAACACTGCCTGGGTTGCCCTGACAACTTCTTTGTTGCGACGTCTTCTTCACTAAGCTGGCGGAACCGTCACGCTTTTCCTGTATCGGTGAACCACTTCCTTCTCCACACGAAACCATTTCGTCTCCATCACAGTCAACCTCTGCCCAACTAACCACTTCCGTTTCTGGTGGAATTTTCGACACTTCCTCTAAGACTAACCGTCTGCTGCAGCACTGGCTGTCGTAACCAACCCTAAGTGGCACTTTCCTGTGACGATCTGTCAGGATCATTCTCTGGGGGTCAATCTTCATGCCTTGGCCAAGTAAGCCGATGATGACTTCATCCACAATGTCTGCCACTATAAACTTAGTGTTCGAGGCCACACCGTCGATTATTACCTCGCATGGTACTTCTCCTAACACTTGGGTGCATTCACCAGTTGCAGTATGCAGCTTTGCTCCAGGTAGTGGCTTCACATAAAAAGTGGCCAAATCCGGTCGAATAATGGAACGTGTCGTTCCAGTATCCACTGTGAGTATTCTCTTCTGCCCATTCACACATCCACCAACAGCTGCATGCTTTCCGGCCAATTTGTGAGACGGAGATTATGGGGCATTCAATTGCGGGAGCCAGCGCGCGCCCTTGCTGCTGGATCGTTTTAGTTTAACGACTGATTAGAGTTGGATTCGTCTCCTTCAGTCCTGCGTTTGCCTCCTGCTGAATTGTTGAGCGCACTGGAACTTGCGCTGCAATCGCGGGCGAAGTGGCCTGGCTTTCCACATTTAAAACGTTTGCCAGAGCCATGCTTTTTCTCGCCCAGCAGTTGGATTAGCTTATTCAGCATTTCCTTTGTCTCGTCCGGTGTCTCCACTTCCACGCGATGTGCTTTGTAGGCTGGTCTACTTAGGAGCGCCGCCGTTTCACGTGTCTGAGCATACGAGACAGTTTCAGCAAATGTTGGCTTGGGATTCGCGTACGTCTCTCGCTTGGTATACACGTACCGCATTCCGTTGATGAACCTCTAGATTTTTACTATTTTGAGGTGCTCACCAGATGCATCTCCAATTGCCAAATGAGCCAACTTTTCAATCTTGAAGGTGAATTCCTGTAGAGTCTCGTTGGATTTCTGGCAGCGATTCTCCAGCTCCATCTGGTAAATCTGTCTCCTGTGCTCGCTACCATAACGTCTTTCCGCTCCACCCATTAACGCATCCTAACTGTTCCTTTCACAATCAGGAATAGTCTGCGAGATTTCCGCTGCAGGTCCTTTTAATGCAACGAACAGTGCAGCGGATTTATCCTCCATGCTCCAGTGATTTGCTGTAGCTGTCTTCTCAAACTGGAGCTTAAAGACCTGGAAAGGAATAGTGCCATCAAAGGATGGAGTCTTTACCTTGGGAGCGTTCGTCCAATTAGCTGGACGATTCAACTGCAAACCCCGGAGACGATCTTCAAGCTCATCCACCTTAGCTTCGACTTTGTCCTGTTTTTCTTTAATAAGCGCTTCGAATTTATCTTCCCGTTCCTCGATTTTATCCTTTCTCTCTCTGAGTTCCGAGTAATTTTTGAATAAATTGTCTTGTGGCTGAGTACTCTTTTCATATAGCTGCGATGATATGCGTGTGTCCTTCACTTGCAGCTGAGATGAAATCTGTGATGACATGTGTGGAGACTTTTGCTGTTTTTCAACCTTCCCGGATGTCTGCTGCACTTCCTTCGACGAACAAGCGGCCTCATCATTCTGTCCACCCTTTGCGGATGCATCGTCGAGTTTACCCTGGAAGTCGTATTTGTCCACGTCGATGCCTTCTGCTTCCATAGCCTCTAGCAGCCGTGATAGTAACTCCACTTTTCTTCCGGAAGTTGCTAAATTTCGCTTCTCCAACTCCTGTTTGAGTTCCTCAAACTTTAAGTCCTGAATTTTTGCCATTTTCAAAAGTTTATCCTTCGGGATTGATTTAACAATCCCACTTCTGACACCAATTGTTACGATTATCCTTGAAACCTCGAGGGATTTCCCAAATTATCTTCGGTTCGTATCTCTGGATTATTAAATAAATGCTAACGATGACCAAGTTGTAGTACAATTAACTTTATTGTACAACAAACAATTTACAATTCTCGCTAATACACTAAAACGCTGCACAATACTTGTTAAAGCAATAATAACACTTTACTAAACTTGTTAACACAATTAAACTCATTGCTTGCTTATTCGCAACTCACTTCTCTGCTCACTTTACTTGTAGCTTGCTGACTTGTAATTAACTCACTTGGCTGTGGCGGCGCCCTTATAAACTTGCGCTCGCACTTATGGCAACTCTAGAACGTTCTGAAATTTATCGCTCATTCTCTATCTCTCGCTGTTCGCAGTGTTCATCCAACTTGACTTTTCTCTTCGTGGAACATTCTACGTCATTCCTCGAACATTCTGCCTATTTCTCGTTGTTCGCTTCGCGTTGCCGCAGTATTCGCCACAATACAACCTATAATCTTCGATAAGATTACGCGTGTAACATCATATAATTCTATCTGCGAATTTAATTAATACTTCGTTCAGGGTAAATACCTTTAACAATGAAATTGTATATTCTTTTGGCAGAAGCTGTAACAGAGTTCGAATCTCATTACAAAGGCATACCCGCAGCAGAACAAAACAAACATGGTCTTGCTATTCAGCTAGACGAATTAAAAGCTTTGTGGGGAAAAACCAAGTCAGCTTACGATAAGCTTATCAATGAGGGATTACCTAATGATGATACAGAGGCCATAAAAAAGAAGAATAGATTTCCTTTCAAAGCTATGTCAGGTGCATGTCTGCTATTGTTTCTCAGGTTGAAATACTAACCAAAGCGAACAAAGATGTAGAGGATCAGTCCGTCCGGGAACACAATATCCACCTGCCACCGTGCGATACAGATGTGTTCAAGGGCGACTATTTTTCATGGCCATCTTTCCGAGATATGTTCACGACCATCTACATCTTGAACAAGCGCCCCACCCGAGTTGAGAAACTAGTTCACCTCAATAATAAAACCCAAGGGGAGGCAACAGACATAGTGCGAAAGTGCCCACTTACCCATGAAGGCTTTTCGACAGCCTGGAAAAACCTGTGTCAGCGATACGACAACAAACTTATCTTAGTTAAAACTATGTTCACATATCAATATTATCCCAATCAAAGCCCGTTTTTTAATCACCCCGTTTACATAGGCAAATCTCAGATTATTAGCCGTCAAATTTGTTGTGGTTGTTATTCTCACATCTCAAGGAAAAGTTATGTTTCTTCTCTGTGCCACCGTGATCACGTTTTTATGCTATAATAAGCAATATAAATATATTTTAACTTAACATTTTATTAAAAATACCTTTACAAACCTCTTTTCATTGATAGCGTACATTTTTGTTTACTTTTACATTTGGCATTTCTCCTCTTTTTTGGAAAAACAATCGATAAAACTAGGTGGACACCGAAAAGTTATCGGTTTAATCTGAGATTATTTTATAATTACAGATTAACAAGGGACGAATTTTATATGGCTAATCTCTTGTTATAATTACAGATTAGGGTGTTAAGCTCGAAAATGAGGATAATCTACTTANTACATGTGAACCTAGTATTACACACAATTAAAAGTTGTATCTAGCTTAAAGACAGTGGGATCTGAGAGTGGTAGCTCAATAAAAAACCTACGGAGCGAGATTAATAATTGTTTATCGTCCCTAAAAAGTCATCAAACTAACATCTCTAACTGGGACACAATTATTATATATTTGTGTTCAACGAAGCTTCCATAAAGTACACTGGCTCTATGGGAACAGACCATGGACCAGAAAACGGACATTCCAAAGTGGTAGGATATGGACAGGTTCCTATCCAATAGATTCCAAACTTTGGAAACTCTAGCGGGACTAAAGGGTACAACAGCGGCGAAAGCTCCAAGGCACCGGCGCGCACGGCACCACCAGGAGTCTAACACTAAAATGCTACGAGCCTTTCAGGCAAGCGTAAACAAGTTCACCTGCCTAATATGCCAAACTAATGAGCACAAGTTACGCAGCTGTTCACAATTCCGCAACAAAACACCAGCTGATAGAATCGATTTTTTGGAAAGCAAAAAAATGGTTCCTGAATTGTCTTAGTACTGTACATTAGGCTGGGTCGATTTTGTATGGGGGAAAATAAAAGTTATTTGACCGCATTGTAATAGTAATATTATGATGTCTTAGGTATAAACCAATTGTTAATGGCCAAAAAAAATTTATTTAAAACTTATCTTTAGCCCGCGCAAACGAATCAAAGTGTATGAATTTTGAGAATGAAACTTTGGCTTGTAATATCTATGGAATGCGTTATTGTTATAAACTGGGAGATATACAAAATTAAGGGTTATTAAATTTAGTACCTCACGTTCATTTACCATTTTTCAATAAGTCTAACAGTTTTTAAGATATTAAGATAAAACTTACAAAAGCTATAATTTTCCCTTATAAATTTTCAATACTTCAGCAACCAGGTGAAAAATACAAAAAAGTGAGACGAGATTTATTTCAATCGTTTTAATGATCTCGTATGTTTATATAATATTAAAAGGACCATGGTCTTGGTCACGCCGATTTGGTCAGTTTTCAAGATCGTGGTGAATGAAGTCAAACATGTATTGTCAAAGATTAGGAATCATTTGATAAGTTAATAGTAGTTTCCAGCATATAAGTATTTGCACACATTAACATAATACAATTAGGGTAAGTCCATTTATGCAGTATTGCAAAATGGTGCGGAATGGTTTCATTAGACACCGAAGAAGCACATTTTTCTAAATTTGCCGTTATATGAAAGTAGGGGACGTGCATTAAGTGTTAAGATATACATAAATATTTTAGTTAAAAAATAAATGTAATAGTCTTTAACATATCCTGGGAGATCCTTATGCAACTAAAGCGATTTAATTTAATCTGTCACTTCTCGTTTGAGTCTACATGGAGCTACCAGCGTCAGCGATATTCAAGTATTAAGGTAATATACTCAATTGTATAAAAATAAAATTTTACCAAATATATGACTTAATTAACTATTCTTAAACCACGGCCTTATATTTTTCTTTTATTTCCTTTAAATAAAAACCTCAGTGCATCCGAGCACCTCCGGAAGCACATGCATTTTGACATGGTCCCATCGAAGGCGAGCGATATATGACCAACGACCTGCATATTGATATTAATTACAGTCCACAACCACAGCGTACACAGGGAATTATTGTCCAGAAATCACTTTTGCCACAACGTTTTCCGCAACAGCAATCGGTCAAGCCACAGAGATCTAGCAACAACTCAACCACACTCAGCTTACTTGCCACAACACCTGCTACATTTGCCAGAACACCAGCGAGCGTACTACACTACAACCACCAAACACCAATCACTTTTAATTCAAGGTACGTGGTTATAATTTCAATTGCACTTGTTAGAAAATTGCCCTAAAAACGTTTTAAATTCAATGCGCGTGCGCAAACGAGAATCTCGCGAGTATTTAAATTAAAAATATACAATTGGAGCATTTAAATTTGAAACCACACTGTCGTTAATTGAGGTTAGTCTGTCCATCCGCAAGTGACCACAATTAGGTGTTCTTGCAACATTAACATATACACACACAGTGTCACACAGTACTCGTTGGTTTGCTACACATTTGTTAGAGTCTCGGTTCAAATTGCGTCCGCGATCGGTAACCAAAAATAAGTGCACCTTGCGTCCACTCGTATATATATACTCGCAACAGTGATCCGTATGACATAATATTGTTAGTGAAGAATCTCGATTTGGTTTAAATTCACAGTCCATAATTCATAATCTTCGTTTTTCTGATCGTTTTTTCATTGCCCCTCTTAGTTGGGTTACATTCTTTTGTATATTTGCGAACACTGTCACTGTTTCGAGGATACATAACCTCTAAATTTTGTTATTTGCATTGAACCAATTGTAGATTTTCACTAAATCACTACACATAAGCGATTCAACTCCGTATAATATTGCATATTTTGTATATTAAAATTTGTTGCGTACGTTGCACACATCACGATTTTACCACGTTTATTATTAACACCTTGCACAGCTTATCAAAGCGCGTAGATATTAGACTGCACAGTTGGGTGGCGAGTCGTTAGTAAACAATAATTATAAAAGAAAAAGGTTTAAATTTTAATAAAGTGTCGAATATATTTCGCAATACAAACTATTTTAAATTTTATTGATTGTGTTGGTTCTTTTCTGGCGAATAAAAGCGATATCAATTATTCGCTTAAGTGGCAACTTTCGGTAAACAGGGCCGGTAATTTCCTGCGGGCATACATATTGTTACGATTATGCTTGAAACCTCGAGGGATTTCCCAAATATCCTTCGAATCGTATATCTGGATTGTTAAATGAATGCTAACGTTGACCAAATTGTAGTACAATTAACTTTATTGTACAACAAACAATTTACAATACTCGCTAATACACTAAAAATGATGTACAATACTTGTTAAAGCAATAATAACACTTTACTAAACTTGTTAACACAATTAAACTCATTGCTTGCTTATTCGCAACTCACTTCTCTGCTCACTTTACTTGTAGCTTGCTGACTTGTAATTAACTCACTTCGCTGTGGCGGCGCCCTTA